ATTTTCTTCCCTAAATCTAGAATCACCGCATTCTTGGTTTCACGAATGTAATCATCACTCACTGGTTGAGGAGATTTGGTATTTTTCTTCATTAGTCCCTGGGATGGCCTGTAAAATAAATCACACCCCACACACCCAAGAAAAACACTAATTAGAATACAAAAGCTTAGAAAAATTAGAACGCTTGAATTCACAGTTCAACACCAGTCAATACCCACTTGCAGGATTAAGCCCTGAATTTGCACGTGTGTGTGTGTGTGTGTGTGTGTGTGTGTGTATGTGTGTGTGTGTGTGCAATTACTAAGGTTTGAATTTAGGGCCTGGGCTCTTTATCTTAGCTTTTTTTGCTTAAGGCTAGCCTTCTACCAACTTGAGCCACAGCTCCATTTTTGGCTTTTTGGTGGTTAATAGGACATAAGAGTCTCATGGACTTTCCTGTCCAGGCTGGCTTCAAACCATGATCCTCAGATCTCAGCCTCCCAAGTAGCTAGGATTACAGATGTGAGCCACTAGTACCCAACTTGCAGAGGTCTTTTTATTACTTTTATTACTTTTTAATTATTTAAAAATATTCAAGTTGATAATGTGCCCTTTGTTCTAAGGTATTCCGTATCCATTGTGTGCCTAAGAAATGGGACTTTTCTAAGAATCCATTTAGCAGGAGTTCTGTCCCAGGCCAAGCAAGCTATTCTATGCCAAAGCCCCTTGTAGCCAGCAGCTCTTACATGAGATCTCCATGACACTTACACAGAAGGCGCACTTTTGGGCAGTCCCATGGCATTGGTGGGTGGGATGGCAGGGAGAGAAGGTAGCACGGAACTGAGGAAAGCCACTGGGTTCTGAATCCGGCCAGTAGGAGAGACAGGTGTTGGGGACACACATTGGGGTTGAAACTGGTTTCCGCTGGGGATGGAAAATGAGAGCGGTGGCGGAGCTGGCTCTGCGGAGCCTGGGCCCAGTGGCTGGTTTGGGATGGAAGCCCCACCGGGAGGTTTTGTTTGCACTGAGGGGTGAGCAGTTAAGAGGCTTTCTTTGCGCACTGTCCTCTGATCTGTTTGAGGAACGCTGCTCAAGGTGAACACCGGAGAGCTGGATGGAGACTCGGTAGCCGAGGTAGTGGAGGGAAAGAAGTGTCTGGGTCGGGCCAAGCTGAAAGTCTGTGCTGCGGTGGGGGCCTTGGCCTGCTTGCTGGAGGCGGAGTTCAGCACACTCCCCTGGAAGGGAAACTCTTTAGGTGATGAAGGTGATGGGTTTTGCAGTTGCTGCTGCTCCAGCAAGACTTGGTTGTGAAGCTGTTGTAACTGAGTGGAGTCACTGCGCACAAAACAAGATAGGGGTTTGTCTCAGGTCATCCTGGGCTACACAGTGAGATCTGGTCTCACCTTCCCACCCCCAACATCAAACCAAAATTATAGCTGGTTATGAATTGCTTAGAAATGTTCCTGGTCGCTTTGTATTACCATGAGGAGTTCTGTAATTAGATTTATCCTCAGGCTTTCTTTCTAAGGATTTATCCACTCTCTGAGCATGAGCACTGGTGGCTCATGCCTGTTAATTCTAGCTACTTCCTTTTGTCACAACCTCATTTTAGCACCTGGGCTCTGCAGACAGCCAGGACTTAGGTCTTCCTCCCATTTCAGTCACTCATTCTGTGTGTGGTGTTGAGTGAGGTGGAGACATTTCTGACCCTGGTTCCCTCATTAGTAAAAAAGCTATAAGTCCAGGAGCTAGTGGCTCACTCACTACCCAGGAGGCTAAGATCTGAGGATTGGGGGTTGAATCTAGCCCAGGCAGAAAAGTCCATGAGACTCTTCAATTAATCACCAAAAAGCTGGAAGTGAAGCTATAGCTCCAGTAGGAGAGGGTCAGTCTTGAACAGAAAAAGCTAAACAAGAACCTGAATTTAAGACCCAGGACCAGCATGAGAGAGAGAGAGAGAGACAGACAGACAGACAGACAGACAGAGACAGAGATAGAGACAGAGAGAGACACAGAGAGACAGACAGTGGAGGGGACGGGGGAAGAGAGGGAAAGGGAGAGGGAGAGAAGGGGAGGGCTTACAGCCTCTGTCTGCTATTCATTCAAATTTTTACTTACAGTTTGGGTTTGGCCAGAACAGGAGGGGGTTCTTTGATGGGTGAGGAAGGCTCTGGGATTTTTGTTGTTTGTCCATTGAGCCTCTCTGGGAAAGAGTCAGGCCTGCTCAGGTTGGCTGTGGCCGCTCCTCCCTCAGAAGATGCTTCGCTTTCTTTGTCATCTTCAGGCAGATTGAAGTGCACACGGAGCCCAATCCTTGAGCTGGACCGGGGCTCATTATGGTTCACCAAGACCCCTTCAAGTTTGGGCTTGGGGGGCTGTTCCATAGAAGGCTCTGGGTTGGGCGGGGATGGCTGTGGCTCAATAGCAGCCAGGTTGGTGGTGGAATTGGCGGAGTGAAGAGCTCCATTGTTACTGAGGTCTTCATTTCCTGAAAAAGCAAGAACAAGATCTAAATTCTCTTTTGGAAAGAATTTTAAAACTTTATGTAGGACCAAGGAGAAGGGTATGATGGTGCATGTCTATAATCCCAGCTACGAGGAAGGCAGAGATGGAAGGATCATGATTCAAGAACCAGCCTGGGCAAAATATTATAATCTTTCTCGAAAGAAAGAAAGAAAAAAAAGCTGCTGGGCGCTGGAAGCTCACGCCTTATAGTCCAAGCTATTCAGGAGGCTGAGATCTGAGGATCCTGGTACAAAGCCAGTCTGAGCAGGAAAGTCTATGAAACTCTTATCTCCAATAAACCACCAGAAAACCAGAAGTGGCTCTGTGGCTCAAGTGGTAGCTTGCTTGCCTTGAGCTGAAGAGCTGAGGGAAAAAGCCCAGGCCCAGAGTTCAAGCCCCATGACAGACCAAAGTTAAAAAAAAAAAAAAAAAGCTGCGGCTCATGCCTGTAATCCTCTACTCAGGAGGCTGAGGTCTAAGGAACATGGATCGAAACTAGCCTAGGCTTAATGCCCTGTGAGACTTTATCTGCAAGTAACCCTTCCAAAACCAAAAGTGGAGCTGTGGCTCAAAGTGGTAGAGTGCTAGTAGCCTTGAGCAAAAGAGCTGAGGGACAGCACTCAGGCCCTGAATACAACAGCCAAAACCCAACAAACAAAGCAATAAAAATAAGCTCCATGTGGTTTAAACACCTGTAATACTAGGTAGGTACTAGGGAAGCAGAGGAAGGGGGGGATCATAATCTAAGGCTGGCCTGGGCAAAAGTGCAAGATCCTAAAAAAGAACAAAAAATCTAAAAATAACTGAAAAAAACTAAAAAATCTAAAAATAACTAAAGCCAAAAGGGGCTGGGAGAATGGCTAACGTGGTAAAATGCTTGCGTAGCAAGAACAAATCCCTGAATTCAAACCTCAGGACTGCTGGGAGATGTTTCCTTAGAAAGTATAATGAAGACCCAAAAACTAAAACATGTTTCTTTTTTTCAGAGGGAGGCAGAGGGCAATAAAAGGGGCACATGAGAGGAGGGAGGTGGGGTGGGAAAATACAGTCATTGTATTCAATGTACATTATGTAAAAATTGAACTTAAGGATAGGGATGGGATGGGGAAAAATGGGGAGAAGGATGGATCAAGATGCATTTATACTCAAAACCTGACTTCTGAGCTTGAAACCTCTTTGTACAACCTCTTAATGACTTTTTTAAAAAAGGGAAAAAAGCAAGCATAAAGGAAACTGAGGTGGTGATGGACCTACATACAACAAGAAATTTTAAACTGCATATTGCAGTATCACGCTCTGTATTTGCAAGATAACATTGTATTTCCTAATAATCCCAACCTTTTGTTGAAAATGAACTATATAGTGGGTGGGGAATGGAAGAGAAAATCTAGGAAAGAGCGAGTGAAGGGGTGACATAGTCTAAAAAGAAATGTACTCTTTACCTGTCTTACGTAACTGTAACTCCTCTGTATATCATCTATATAATAACAATAAAAAATAATGCAACCTTTTTGATTCATGTGTAAAATGGTAAGGAAGGATAATACAAACAGCATGCTCAAAAGATCTGGACTGTTCCAACAGGGAAAGAGACCTTACCTCTCACATCCAGCTGTGCGATACTTGACACGGTGCCGTATTTGTTGCTTGCTGTACATGTGAAGCACCCGGAATCTTCTGCAAACACTTCAGCAATGACCAAAGTACAGATCTCCTCTAGATGCCGGGAAAACAGAATGGTTATTGACTTAATCATGAGAATGGAGTAATGGAATTTACTGCTAATTGATAATGATTCTACTGAAGTCAATGTAAGAAGCTAATTTTATTAGTTCTTGGAAAACAATTGGTCCAAACAACTCTTTGATCCAATTGACTGGCCAGCAGGCTGAAAGAGTCAATATAGAATCAATTATGCCATGAAGTCAGACAGGAATGACGGGGATTTTATAAAAATACGTTACAAGCCGGGCGCCGGTGGCTCATGCCTGTAATCCTAGCTACTCAGAAGGCTGAGATCTGAGGATCGTGGTTCAAAGCTAGTCCAGGCAGGAAAGTCCATGAGACTCTTATCTCCAATAAACCACTAGAAAACCGGAAATGGTGCTGTGGTTCAAGTGGAAGAGCACTCGCCTTGAGCTGAATGGCTGAGGGACAGCGCCCAAGCCCAGAGTTCAAACCCCATGACTGACCAAAAAAAAAAAAAAAAGTTACATATATCAACATTCAGATTATCTCCTTTTTATTTTATTTTATTTTATTTTTGGTCAGCGTGGGGCTTGAACTTGGAGCCTGGGTGCTGTTCCTAAACTCTTTTGCTCAAGGCTAGTGCTCTATCACTTTGTGCCACAGTGCCACTTCTAGCTTTTTTGAGTAGTTTATTGGAGTTAGAGTCTCATGGACTTTCCTTCCTGGGCTGGTTTTGAACTGTGATCCTCAGATCTCAGCCTCCTCAGTAGTTAGGATTACAGGTGTGAGCCACCAGCGTCCGGCTTTATCTCCTGTTTTTATGTCATCAGTCCAGACAACAAACATGGAGCTAACAATAAACTTTTAAAAAAGACATGAAAACAAATTGGAGGTCAAAGGAAAAGGAGGGGTGTGTGTGTGTGTGTGTGTGTGTGTGTGTGTGTGTGTGTGTGAAATAAAATGACTAGTAAAACATTTTCTAAATCTAGGTCTCTCATTTCCACAGGACAAAATTTTTTGGTCGTATTGGTAATTGAACTTAAGACCTCTAGCACTAGGTCTCTCAAAATCTTCCTTGGCAAAATTCACAAAGAGATCATGTTAAACTAAGGCCACCATTTTGAATTGGAAAAATAATCATTGGAAATTAGTGTTTTGTTTCAGTAATAGTAATTAGCCCATATAGTAAATGGAAGTTCTGGGTAAAAGTAGTAACACCATTTCCACTTTCAGAACTCTACGGTGATTCTTGTGGATTGTTCCATAATAGGAACCTCTGTGAATATTTACAGAGATTATTTTTTTAAGTTTATTTTATTTTATTTTATTTTGGGTCCAGTCATGGGGCCTGAACCCTGGGCCTGGGCACTGTCCCTCAGCTCTTCAGCTCAAGGCTAGTGCTCTATTACAGAGATTATTTCCAGAGAGAACGGTGTATTTATGGCCTTTCTTTATTCAAGCTACACATTCCTTAACAACTAGTGAAGAGGAGGGGGCAAGAGGGTAGCCCTGAAATTAAAAACCAAGTTATTAAAACACAGTTCTAGTAGGAAAAACCTGTCTCTCAGTGCTTCATGATAGGTGAGCTAATGTAACTAGACTTCCTCTAGAAGAACTGCGATGAGCCATGCTAGAGGGCAAATGTCCATTGTCCACTGCTTTTCTATCCAGGTGTCAGAAGTGTATTTCCTTCCTTCCTTCCTTCCTTCTTTCCTTCCTTCCTTCCTTCCTTCCTTCCTTCCTTTTTTTTGGTGCTGGTCCTGGCGCTTAAACTCAGGGTCTAGCCATTGTCCCTGAGCTTTTTGGATGAAGACTAGCATTGTACCACTTAAGTAACACTTCCACTCCTGGCTTTTTTGGTAGTTAATGGGAGATAAGAGTCTCATGTACTTTGTTATCTGGCCTGGCTTTGAACTACAATCTTCATATCTTAGCCACTTGAGTTAGGATTACAGATATGAGTCACCAATGCCAGGCTTAGAAAATGGAATTCTAATAACAAACACTTCAAGCATTGTCCTGGCCCAGGCTTTGCAGGGTGATCACAGAGAGGACATTCGGACATTTTATGTGCTGCTTGCTTTTAGAGACTTGTAATTTTGAGTTGTAGAAGTGGCATGTATTCTCATTTGTATCTATTGTAGCATCTTCAAAATAAGTAACAAATACAGTAATAAATCTAAGAATTCTATGGACATTTAATAAAATCTCTGAAAATCAAAATCCAACATGTAAAATTTGAGACACTTGGGCTGGGAAGGTGGCTCAGTGGTAGAGCGCTTGCCTTGCATGCCTGAGGCCCTGGGTTCGATTCCTCAGCACCACGTAAGCAAAAAGAAAAAAGCCAGAAGTGGCGCTGTGGCTCTAGTGGTAGAGTGCTAGCCTTGAGCTGAAGAGCTGAGGGACAGCGCCCAGGCCCAGAGGTTAGGCCCCACGACCGGACCCAATGAAAAAAAAAAAAATTGCGACACTTAGGACCCGGAACTGCAAATAAACTGACCTTGTGAAAATGGCTCTGCCTATTAGGGAAGGCATGAGGGGACCCAGGACAGAGGGAAAGTATTTCTGCGAGACACACCTCAAAAATCAATAATTAATTGCTCATGTCAGGTTTGCCCATGTTCCCACCTTCTTTTCAGCCTACAATAATAATTAGAGTTTGATTTTTTCTAAAACTTTATTTTCACTTTTTCTTGACGTAGTATAATTTCAATATGTCTTCTTACACACACACATAATCACTTACAACATATTAATAAATTAAAATTGAGATACCTGGCTCAGCCATGGATCGAGGTTCTAAAAGGAAAAAAAAAAGATACTGAGTATATATTTGACTGAGGCTGCATTTTCATCAGAAGCTTCTGATAGAAGGTCATAGTCCTGTCATTGCCAATTTATATAATCAAGGGTGATATGCTAAAACTAATCTGTCAATATGATCTAAACACCAATGAGCTCAAGAGAGGCACAGAAGGGCATCAAGAATGCAATTAAGAGCTGGGTGCCGGGCTGGGAAGGTGGCCCAGTGGTAGAGTGCTTGCCTTGCATGCATGAGGCCCTGGGTTCAATTCCTCAGCACCACATAAGCAGAAAAAGCCAGAAGTGGCGTTGTGGCTCAAGTGGTAGAGTGCTGGCCTTGAGCTGAAGAGCTGAGGGACAACGTCCAGGCCCCACAACCGACACACACACACACACACACACACACACACACACACACACACACACACACACACACACACAGAGCTGGGTGCCAGTGGCTCATGCCTGTAATCCTAGCTACTCAGAAGGCTGAGCTCTGAGGATCATGGTTCAAAGCCAGCCCAGGCCAGAAAGTCTGTGAGATTCTTATCTCCAATTAACCTCCAGAAATCTGTAGTTCAAGTGGTAGAATGCTAGCCTTGAGCTAAAGTGCTCAGGGACAGCACCCAGGCCCAGAGTTCAAGCCCCACAACCAACCAACAACAACAACAAAGCAATTAAGCTAGGGAGGGTGGCTCATGCTTTTAATCCTAGCTACTTGAGATTGGGAAAATCAGCCTAGGCAAAAAGTTCATGAGACTCAAACTCAATCAATAAAAAGATAGACATAGTGGTGTACACATATCATCCCAGTTATGCAAGAAGCATAAAAAGAGAAGATCATTGTCCAGGCCATCCTCAGGAAAAAGCATGAGATCTTACCTGAAAAATAACTTAAGCAAAAAGGACTGGGTCTACAGATCAAATGGTAGAGCTTCTACTTAGCAATTACAAGGTCCTAAGTTCAAACCCCAGTACTGCTCTCACCCCAAATGCAATAAAATGATATTGCTGCACACCTGGGACCACTTAGGGTAAATAAATAAACCTTGGGCAAGAAAACGTTCCTGAGTTTGCTGGAATTCAGAAACCACTTTCCTTTATCTGTACTCATTCAATGCTACCTAAACTAGTGCTTACAAAACATTATAAATGCTTATAAAAACACACTGGTGGCTCATGCCTGTAATTCTAGCTACTCAGGAGGCTGAGATCTGAGGATTGTGGCTCAAAGCCAGCCTGGGCAAGAAAATCCAGGAGACTCTTATCTCCAATGAAACACCAGAAAATTGGGGCTGCAGCTCAAAATAATAAAGTGCTAACTTTGAGCAAGAAGCTCAAGAACAATGCCGAAGCCCTGAGTTCAAGCCTCAGGACTGAACAAAAAATTCTGTGTTTTTGTTTTATTGTATTGGCAAGGCGAAATTTGCTTTTGTACAGAAGGGTATGCCATCAGCCAAAAATCTGGCAAGCAAGCACCCAAAAAACATTATTTTCCTCTCTCTATTTAAACGATATTCAGAATGTATTATTATTGCTGCGACTGTTGCTCATACCTGACATTAGTTCTAAGTCATATATCACACTGATTCCGGTGTTATTATATTGTTATAGGAAGAAGTAAATGAACAAGAAAGCAAATAACTCAAAAAAAAAAAGAAAGCAAATAACTCACCAGAAAAAAAAGGCAGTGTGTGAGATAATGTATATGTTAATTAGCTCAATTGAGCCATTCTACAATATAGACATTGCAAAACATCATGCTGGTAGAACTCTTTTTAACTTTCTTTTTCCAGTGCTGAAATAGTAAAGTTCTTAAGACTTTATCTCCAAATAACCAGTAAAATGATGGACTGGACATCTGGTTCAAGTGGTAGAGTATCAGCCATGAGCAAGAAAGCTGAGTGAGCACAGAGTTCTGAGTTCAAACCCCGGTACTGGCAAAAACAAAAACAAAGCAAAAAAACCCTTCCAATATTTGTTCCATAAAAAATAGTGAAAATCTAAAAATGACTAACACCCACTTCTGACAAAGGTAGGTGAGAAAAGACATTTGATGTATAGTTCTGGTTGTGGTAAAAAAGAGCTAGCAAAACATGTGTCACAGCTTCTCTTCTCTTGTTTATTCTGGGATTGGGTCCTGCACCATTATTACTATCTTTCATGCCTCAAAGTATCTCAGTTTGGGTGGTCACTTCTGGGATCATCCTAAGTCAACCTTTTGGGATGACATTTTGGCAGTATATAGATTATATATTAAAAGCCTAAAAATTGTATTTACAGGAAAACACTAGTACTAGAAATTATTCTGAGGCAGGGAGTATAGATGAGCATAAAACTTTGCTCTGCTACAAATGTGTTCAAAGTAGTTTATTTGCATGTATGAGCACAGAACAATGGGACTAGAATGTAGCTCAGTGGCAAAGTGCTGGCCTGGCAAGTACAGCGACCCGGGTTTGATCCCCAATACAAAAAAAAAAAAAAAGAAACAAAGAATAGAACAATGAGACCTATTGAAATAGTTCTAAGAAGGGGAAGTGAGTAGGGAAAGTGATGAAAGGGTGAGGTTAATGAGGCACATTGTATACATGCATGAAAATGTCACAATGAAACTCCCACTTCCATAACGAATGTTAATAATGCTAATAAAGAAAATTACGGAGCTGGGAATGTGGCTTAGTGGCAGAGTGCTTGCCCAGCATGCATGAAACTCTTGGTTCAATTCTTCAGTACCACATAAACAAAAACAGACGGAAGTGGCCCTGTGGCTCAAGTGATAAAGTACTAGTTTTGAGTAAAAGAAGCTCAGGGACAGTGCCCAGGCCATGAGTTCAAGCCCCAGGACTGGCAAAAAAGAAGAAAAAAGAAAATCATTAAAATTTTGTTATGTTAATATACATTGAATCATAATTTATAATAGTAAATATTTGTGAACATGTTACATGTTCAATAGTGGGAGATTAAGTAAATATGAAATTGATATTACTGATTTTTTTTTGAGATAGAGTTTTACAATGTAGCCTAGGCTGGCCTGGAACTCATGATCCTCCTGTCTCAGCCTCCCAATTGCTGGGGTTCCAGGAGTGTACTACCATACTTGGCTTATTGGCTTATTTTTGTTTTGTTTTTGTGCCAGACCTGGAGTTTGAAGGCAGGGCCTGGATGCTGTCCCAGAGCTTTTGGCTCAAGGCTAATGCTTTATTATTTGAGCCTCCACTTCTGATGGTTAATTGTAGATAAGACTCTTCTGCCTGGGCTGGCTTTGAACTGAGATCCTCATATCAAAGCCCCCTGAGTAGCTAAGGATTATAGATGTAAGCCATCAGCACCTGGTTTATTGACTTTTTAAAAGTAAGAAAAGTCTGTATTAACATGGAAACATGCCAATGATATTTTGGGTAAAGAAAAATTCTCCAACAAACAGTATGACTTATTTTTTATTTTTATTTTTTATTTTTTGGGGGGGTCCAGTCGTGGGGTCTGAACTCTGGGCCTGGGCGCTATCCCTCAAGCTCTTCAGCTCAAGGCTAGCGCTCTTCCACTTGAGCCACAGCGCCACTTCCAGCTTTTTGTTTTTTTTGCTTATGTGGTGCTGAGGAATTGAACCCAGGGCCTCAGGCATGCAAGGCAAGCACTCTACCACTGAGCCACCTTCCCAGCCTGACATTTTTTTTTAATTTTTTATTGTGAAAATACTGTACAGAGGGGTTACAATTACATGGGTAAGATAGTGAGTACATTTCTTATCAAGCCTCCTCTTTTGTTTACCCTTCCCATCCCTTCCCAGCCTCCCTCACCCCCCATCCAATCCTCCCCCCCCACCACCAAAGTTGTAAAGTTCATTTTCGACATGACAACTTGTACTTCTCATTGTTGCAACGGGTCCACCTGTATCCTTATTTAAACGACTTGTTTTTCCCCTTCCCCTCCACAAATTATACCAACATCAAATGCAGTGAAAGCAGGGGTTATACTGTGGGGGAGGGACATACAAAGCAACAAAGAAATAATCTTATAAATGCATTAGAAACAAATGCATGAAAGAAAAAAAACCGTTTAAATACATATCTTAGGGTTCTTTTTCCTAACATCACCTTATCTGACCTTTTCTGCTTGACTCATACATATACTAGATATTGCAAATAAGGGAAACCATGGGATCTATGTTTCTTTGGGCTTGGCTTACTTCACTTAATATAATTTTTTCCAAGTCTTTCCATTTCCTAACAAATGGGGCAATGTCATTCTTTCTGATGGAGGCATAGAATTCCATTTTCTTGATCCATTCATCTACTGAGGGGCATCTGGGCTGGTTCCATATCTTAGCTATGGTAAATAATGCTGCAATAAACATAGTTGTGCTGGTAGCTTTAGTGTGGTCTTGTTTGTAAACATTTGGGTAAATGCCCAAAAGTGGGATTGCTGGGTCATAGGGGAGCTCTATGTGGAATCTTTTGAGGAACCTCCATACTGCTTTCCAAAGTGGTTGAACAAGTTTACACTCCCACCAACAATGCAGTAAGGTTTCCTTCTGTCCACATCCCCTCCAGCATCTGTTGTTATTAGAGTTCTTGATTTTTGCCATTCTAACTGGGGCCGACTTATTTTTTAAAAAACAAGAATATGTATGGACATGTTCTTGAAGAATATAAAATAATATTAATAGACTTTAGTTTGGGAGAATATAAGTGATTTTATTTTAGCTTTTGACTATTTTTTGACTGGTAGAAACTTACAAAAAATAAATATATAAGCAATTTATTTAGATAAATGATCAGAAAAACAGTTTGGAAGCATCCACTTACTTTTCTGTAAAATCCTAAAATCTGGAGAATCTTCTATCAAGGTCCCTTCTCTATACCACTCAACTTTAGGGGATGGAGCGCCTTTTATTCTGCATTCAAAGACAACCAGCTGACCCTCGGAAGCGGACAAATTCTGTAGCATCTAGAATGAGCAGACATTGTTAGAACCAAAGAATAGTCATTGTTGGCATTCAGTCCAAGTGCTTGAATTCTAGACACAGATATCATTTCTTCTGTCCTTGGACATTCTCCAAATCTTCTACACCTCTGGCAGCTTCAATGCTATGGCTATACATTGAGTCCATTTATGAATGACTCATCTAACCCTCATAAAGCTGTTCTTCTCCTTATGTTCTTCTTTTATCTCCATTGCAGTAGTAAATAAATTTACTAAATGTTAAGTAACAGATTTTGAGTCAAGTAGCTAGTTTTTAGTAAAGTATTTCTATTTTTTGTCCCCTCCCTCCTTCCCCTTTGGGTGGGAACAGTTTGAACATAGGGCCTTATGCTTGCTAGCCAGGCCAGTCAAATGATGGCCTGGAGGTCTGGCTCAAGTGGCAGAGTACAGATCTCTAGCCCTCTTCTGTAAGTTTTCAGGGAGATTCTTGTGGTTTGCCCATGGCTGATCTTTTATGTTTTTTGTTTTTGGTCGGTCATGGGGCTTGAACTCTGGGCTTGGGCGCTGTCCCTCAGCTCTTCTGCTCAAGGCGAGCGCTCTACCACTTGAGCCACAGCGCCACTTCTGGTTTGGTTACTTGGAGATAAGAGTCTCACAGACTTTCCTGCCCGGGCTGGCTTTGAACCTCGATCCTCAGATCTCAACCTCCTGAGTAGCTAGGACCGGTTGATCTTTTATCTTGATTCTTCCAATCTCCCTTTCCTGAGTAGCTGGAATTACAAGCATAAGCCAAGAAAGTATTTTGGCTTTTACATGCTCAGCAGAGTTTGGTTTCTATAAATAATAATGATGATAATAATAACAGATGATGCTAAAATCTGCAACAAGTATCTATTAAGTGATTCACTGTAGGAGAGGATTGCCACCAAAAGATCTGTGGCTGCCCATGAAATGGAACAGCTCTGTGGCTCAAGTGACTGATTCTGTCTCTCTTGGCCTGGCCTAGTTTATGTTGAGTTTTATTTTCCTGATGGTGCTGGGGTTCAAACCCAGTGCCTTATATATGCTAGGTACACACTGCACTACTGAGGGCCTTTGTCAGTCACCGTAGGCACTTTGTACAATCACTGAGCTGTGGGAGGTTCTACCAATGACAACTTTTATGAAACCAGAGTCATGCAGCCAGGTGCCCATGGCTCACACCTATAATGCTACCTACTTAGGAGGCTGAGATTTGAGGGTTATGGTTTGAAGCCAGCCCAGGCAGGAAAGTCTATGAGACTCTTGAAAGGATCCATCACATCCGTCCTAGAGGACCATGCAGAGGCAGGCAGGCACAGGAGTAAAATTATTACAAGGCTTATTAGAGGAGAGGGAGCACATGGCAGCTTCCACTATCTAGGTAACAGCAGGGTCTGGGGGTAGGAAGTGAGGTAGATGGGAGCTCAGGTGTGTCTGGGAAGTGAGGTAGATGGGAGCTCAGGTGTGTCTGGGAAGTGAGGTAGATGGGAGCTCAGGTG